ATATGATAGCATGTAATCGAGTGAACTAATTGTAATAATAATTAAAACACACATTTTCAACAAACATATGCGAGTTTTACAAAAAGCCAATCAAACAATACTCAAACGTAAAGCCAGTATATATGGAGAGTGAAAATACTGAACAATACGTACCGACGTTTTCTAGGGCTGCGATGCCATTGAATTGAGTGAATACGAGTAGAGTTAGGGATAAAACGAGACCTAATGGTCGGTTTGTTGCGGACATGTCTTCAATTTAACCGTACAGTCATTTCAACCAACAATTAATAGTAAGGGTTTTTCAGGCGATGGATTGGCTGCCGTGCAGTGAAGTGGCTTTCGATGGGCGCACGGCTTATATCGCTCACGATTTTGAACGGACGAGAGATTCTTGTGGTGTAATTGTCTCTCCGATCGGTGAGAATTGGTTCGTACGGACCAAATGGGGTGATGATTGAAAGGGGTATTCACCCGATGTCGGCCACACCAACCGAAACAATAGGAGCGATGGTTTTGTTTTTATAAATTCTCGACAACACTATTACTCCATATTTTAAATGTCACTCCAGTCTCACTCTCAGCACAGAATTTGACAACAAATACCAGAATCGAGTTTAACTTAACAATCGCTGGTCTGATCGCCAGCTTAGACCACAAAATCAGTCAATTATTTATAAATTAACGAATAAAACATAAATATATATAAAAATAATTTTAAAATTAAAAGTTTATTGTCTGTTATGTAATGGCCCACAGCTTAAGTGAACAGGTATTTCAAAACACACATTACAGTGTATTTTCATACGGTGTGTGTCTGTATATCATGTATGTTAAGCTGTGGTGTGTGTGAGTAGAGCACAGTTATGATGGCATAGGAATAGGCGCTGTGCTGTGAATGTGTTTGTAAAGGTCTCTCCATTGTAGGCAATGGTGGCCCAGAACTCCATACAACCACAGCAGTAGCTATTGATCCGATGAATACAGCGTTACGTCTATGGCTTTGACGTCAAATGTTTTCACAAACTTTCAATGCGTTCGCACTGTTTGTCCAAAATATCATTGCAAACAGTGGCGCATAAAACACACATTTCCATCACGTTATCGAAGATATCTATCACTTAATTGTCAATTTGAGAGAGAGAGAGAGAGAGAGAGAGAGAGAGAGAGAGCCATTAACCAAGTCATTATATCAAGAATATATTTAATATGATATAAAATGACACTTTTATCTGAACCACTGGTCATACAAACCATATCATTATCACCGATCATATCGTGCTCTCTCTCTCTCTCTCTCTCTCTCTCTCTGTATTTGTAAATATAATAAAAACGATTACAAAGATAATAGTTTTCTAACAACATTACCATTGAATTAACTCGATTTACAAGTCTATAATCAAATTAACGGACAAACAGTTTCGCCAATTCTTTCATGAATAAAACTTCAATTCAAAGCACGTAATCATTTGACAAATATTTGGTCTCTTAATTGTTTCTACAGTTTATTTAATACATAATTTAAAGTATTAAAAATTGAATTTAACTATAAATTACAAAATGCAATAAAATAGTAATTAATTATTAAATCAAAAAATACATGCTTTAGTCAAATATGAGAGAAGATATTGAATGGAAAGGGAGGGAAACGTTAAGAGGAAGGGGTATATGTCGTGAAGTGACGATACCTAAGAGGCGGCGCCAAATCGGGCCAATCTTTGCTGCTTTTTATCCTACAATGAGATAAACAATCATAGATTAGCCACAAATTCAATACAAGAAGCGATGGCACAGATAACACGTGCGGACATAAGTGCTATAATACTGACCGCGAAATTGCCTTTCCTTTTAAGACTATCGGCTGTGGAGGTGCTGTCGGCGGCGGTGGAGGCGGTTGTGGTGGATGTGATGGCAAACCTCTCTTTGCGTTTGTCGAGCCGTTGTGTGTCCTCAATCTTCTTCAACGTATCGCAAACTGTGCCAAACCTATTGGCCCTCTGTTTCAGCTTCTGGTCGACGACGGGTGCGTTGGGGCCGACACTCGACGACACCGTACTGTTGGCGTCAGCGCCGGTCAGACCGAAGCGTTGGGCCCTTTCGGACAGTCGGTTGTCGGCGAACTTATTGGCCCGCATTTGGCGCTTCTCGTCGGCCGTCAGAGCGGCCGGAGTTGTCTTCAGCACAGCTTTGGGCGGCGCTGTCGGGTCGTCCGCCTCCGCGTCGGCGGCGGTTGTGGTGGCCGTGGCTTTGGTGGGCGACGAAGGGGTCGGTGCGGAGCCCACGGCTGTTGTGGCCAACGGACTGGTGGTCGCGGTTTGGCTCATGTTTGCAGATTTCAATGTTCGCAACGCATGCGCTGTACAGACAAAATGGCCGACACTTGGGCTCTTGGGGTCGGTGCGGAGCCCACGGCTGTTGTGGCCAACGGACTGGTGGTCGCGGTTTGGCTCATGTTTGCAGATTTCAATGTTCGCAACGCATGCGCTGTACAGACAAAATGGCCGACACTTGGGCTCTGAAGGGCGACAAACAATTACGTCCGCCAATTGTTTCAATCATTTGACGGCACGTATTGTGCGCTTTCACGCATAGCATTGGGTTCTCCACTCAACCCGTATTCACGCAAACCATCTGTTGTGCAGTGAAGTGACGACCGATACGTAAGGCGTTATCACATAAATAACGTGACGAGTGAGTGACTCATTGGGCGTAATGTATGGCAAAGCGTTGTATTGAAAGGCAAACACACAATAAAACGCTGAAAACGCCGGTCAGTGAGAGAGAGATAGACTGACATACAGTCGGACACCGCGTATATAGACAGCCGTCGGGAACGGTATGTTTTGGTGGATTGCGGCCATCGATGGCATTGTGTGGCCAATAGTAGCGGTTATGTTATGGCCAGACATGTGTGGAATGCGTGGATGTGTTGGCTGTAGTGCTGTGAGAGTGAGTGTGTGTTGTGCGGAGAGTGGAGTGAATGTATGGTATGTTGTATTGAATTCCACGTCAGTATTGAGCGAAACGTAACGTAAGGGACGGTTAGGGAGAGGGAGAGAGTGAGCGCTCGTATGGTTACTATCGTATGAGTTGTGTTGGCTTTTCGTTGCCATTCATTGAGCACTCGATCCACACATCCATTCAATACTCCATTTAATCGCTATTTATTACAAGTCATTAATTGTGTAAACATTTGATTGTATTGTCAGTCAAGTGGTGCCGAAGAACACACATCTGTCGCACAGTTTGCCACTCCGTTGAGTGTCGAGTGTCTATAGACTATACATATAAGCAGTAATTGTTTAATCAATCGATTGATTCGGTGGTCGACTGAAGACTCGTCTCAAGAATGGGTAATATATTCGCGAATCTATTCAAAGGTCTGTTCGGGAAGAAAGAGATGCGTATTCTGATGGTCGGGTTGGACGCGGCCGGAAAGACCACCATTTTGTACAAACTCAAACTCGGAGAGATCGTCACCACTATTCCCACCATCGGTAACACCAAACCATTATGTCATCACTCATGCCATACACACCACTCACACCCTCTCTCTCTCTCCCCATAGGCTTCAACGTCGAGACCGTGGAGTATAAGAACATCTCGTTTACGGTGTGGGACGTCGGCGGTCAGGACAAGATCCGCCCCCTCTGGAGGCACTACTTCCAGAACACTCAGGGCTTGATATTCGTGGTCGACAGCAACGATAGGGAACGTATCGGCGAAGCGCGCGAAGAGTTAATGCGGATGTTGGCGGAGGACGAGCTCCGGGACGCAGTTCTTCTCATTTTCGCCAACAAACAGGTGTCCGACCCCTCCCTCCCGACCCCCACCCCCGCCATAACTGGTCTCACATGTTGTGCGACCCGTTGTGGTGCCGTAACATATGACTATCAGTCCCCGATGTGTGCCATAATTGATTGAATATATGCCATAACAATGTGATTGAATGCTGTGTACGTGAAACTAACGATGTGTTTGTATTGTGTGATAGGATTTGCCGAATGCGATGAATGCGGCGGAAATCACGGATAAGTTGGGTCTGCATTCGCTGCGAAATCGGAACTGGTACATTCAGGCCACGTGCGCCACTTCCGGCGATGGCCTCTACGAAGGTCTCGATTGGCTCTCAAATCAACTTAAAAATCAAAAATAATTTTTAACAACAAATACATCTCTTTTGTGAAACAAACAAAAACTATTAGTTTTTAAATATAATATTAAACTTAAGACCAATCGGACGAAACACTCCATTAATTAAACTAATTATTATTATTAAGTAATGAATCGCTCGCTTTTTCGATGATATAAATTATTATATATATATTATAAATGATTGGATTTCTTGTTTTTAATTCTGTTTATTATCTGTTTTTCTCTGTATTCATGTCTTCGCTTAAACAAAACTGTTTTTATAATTAAATTCTGATTAAAACACGAAATCATTTGATTTATTGTAATTCATTTGATTGTTTTTCGTTAGTATTTTTAATACCCGTTGTAATGGGATTTGTAATGTATTTTAAACAATCCGTGTGTAAACTATTTCTCCAACATTTTCTATGAATTAGATTTAATTTTAATAAATGAAAAATAACTTTTAAAACCATGTAATCATAATTAAACACTACCTCTATTTTATGTTAACATAACTTATCACGTTAGTAGAATGAAATTTAACCAGGGTAATTAATGTTTACCAAACTTAAAGCGAGTAATTGACCACAATTAAATGACTGTCGGGGGAGACATCGAACGAGTTAAAGTTGAGCTGAATTGAACGGGTTTGGGAGGGGATTGTGTGAAAACAGCAACACTTGACAAATGCAATATAATTCAACATTTTATTTGATCCAAATTCCCGATAAATTAAATGACAATTGAATCGTACGTCAAATATATCGGGCTTTTCAGCAATAAATGTGTGTTTTCTTTATTCCTTTCGTAATTCAATTAAATTAATAATCTTTAAAAATATCAATAGATCTTTTATAAAGAACATCTCTTTGTACTATAAAAAATATTATACATATTGACCACAATGTGTGTGTGTTTGTGTCAGTGTGTGTGTACTGTCTGTATGGGCGCAAACTTTGTTGAGGGGAACAACACATGATTGTCCATTTGTCGGGAAAATTCAATGGTCACAGAAATTGGGAGTTATATGTATAGAGAGAAAGAGAGTGGTAAATATTAAATATAACACTGTATTCAACTAATTACATAGTAATTCTACTCGATAATAGTTAATCTGTCTAAATTTTCAAAAAGTAAAACAATATTAATTCAAATAAAAACAGTTAGGTTAGATTAAAATCAGTACCAGCACAATTAAAAATTGCAAATAAACACTAAGAAATCGATCCTGATAATTCAAACAGTTGTCGCCCAATAAAAGCGTTATAAACCAAACGAAACACCATTTATTTGGCTTTTAATTTCCATTACTTATTGTAAAGCATAATAGTTATAGATATACCGAATATGTTTTGTTTTTGTTTCATAGCATGGGCTCATTTGTATTTCATTTCATCAATGTCAGTTGGCTTCGCTACAAATCAAAACAGCAATAATAACAACAATTTGGGGACAAATCGGGGCACTCTTTACACAACGCTTCCGTACGTCTCGTATAATGAGTGAAATTAGGCTTAAAAGTCCAGTTTTATTATTATTGAGAACTAGTTTTACTGTTTTTTATTTGTCTTATATTCTCGTCGTTTCATTTCAAATAATATATATCGCTATCATCGCATTCACTCCTGCCGTCGCCGCGCCGTGTGTTTCATGTGATGGTCACGCCTCGGCTTCTGGTTGTGGGTCTGGAGGTGTGTCTGATTGTTGTTCCTTTGGTTGATCTGTGGGTGATGTGGTCTGTGGTGGAGGTGATGACCGTTGCTCTTGTTGTTCCTGTTGATGGTTGGCTGCCGGCGTCGTCGTTGTCGTCGGCGGCGCCGTTTGTTGACGACTACTATCTTTATTATCTCTATCTTTCGGTTTTGTAGGCTTTCCTACAGTTGAAGGCACTGTTGATCGGCTGACCAGAGCTCTGATCTGTCTTTGAGCCGCTTGTGTACTCAGAAAGTCACCGATTATGTAAACTGGCGTTTCCTCTGCGCCCCCATCACCGCCACCACCACTACCGCCACCGACGCTCTCCTCTGGAAGTTTGATTATGGCTCTGGTGTTGCGCTGCATTTCGCGCACAACTGATCCCCCTTTGCCTATAATACGGCCGACTTGTGACGACGGGATCAATATCTCCACCTTTAGCTTCGGCTCCGGGGAGAGTGAGTCCTGAGGGATGGCACTGAAGCCCTCGACCGTCACTTTACGGAATATCATGTATTGAGCCTTCCATTGGGACTCCGGGTTCCCCACAATTGTCACCCTTCGCATGTCTTGAGCAACTCGTTCCGCCTCTTCTTTGGTGGGCTGAGCCACCTGTTCAGGGATAGGGAGGACTCAGGCGTTAGACAAGACAAGACATGTGTTGTGTAAAATCATACCTTGATATTAGCACCAGAATTTAAGATCATTTCCCTAATAGTTGTGCCTCCGGTCCCAATGATGGCGCCGACGGCCGAGTTTGGTATATATACGAACACCGTTTCCTTCGTCTGGTCGCCGCCCGGTATGGCTGGGAAGCCGGCAGTGAGTGTAGGAGCGGTTGGGTGGTGGAGACCGGGGCCGCCACCCGTTGGCGAGTACAGCAATGGAGGCACACCGTATGGGGACGTATTATAGATGCCAAACGGATGAGTGTTGGGTCCACCGGCGCCTCCACCGCCGCGTCCACCGGATCCGGACGACGGGCCCGCCATTGGATAGTTGGGCTGTCCTATTGTGGACATCATTGCCATCGGGTGTAGGCCGGGAAACATGACGGCCTGCGGTGCGATGGCCTGCAGATCAGATTCGTAACTCTGGCGCAGTCTTTGACTGATCATTGATTCTGCTTTACAAATGTTTTCCAGCGAACCCTTGATTGTTATGATTCGCTCCAAATTGAAACTATTCACGTCATGTATACTACTGTTTGGGCCATCAGTACATCACATCCACACCATAGTTGGTCACACCATTCGCAACACAGGCACAGAGATATAACATATGATAATTAGCAACTCGTCAGGCAATCAAATCAATGGTATTCACTGCAATCAATGCTATCATTCACTCACACAACTAATCGATATATAATTTTGCGTTTAAATCATTATTTTTTGATCAAATTTTAATCAAATAATTAAATGTCTAATATTAAGGTAAGAATCTAAACAAATTCGCTATTCAATAATCACAACTCATTTGCGGCCAATTTTGATCACAAAAGACCACATTTTTATGCATTTGCGGTACAATTAAAGCTCTACTTCGGAGAAATGGCATAAACGGAAGCTTTGCTCGTATTATACAGGCTTTCGAGTTATGGAGGGCTTTAGGAATATAGAGGATAAAAATAATAGGGGTTTGACTGTAATAACAATATTAACGGCAATTCAAACTAAACTAAATAACAATTAAACCACAAAATCATACCAAATATATGACATGTTGTGGCGAAGAAAGCGATAAAAAGTGCTGCAAAAGCGAGAAAATAGTGACACAAACCTGGAAACAGTGATCTTCGTGTCCGTCTGTTCCATAATCTTTTTGATAGTATTACCACTTTTGCCGATAATACGGCCGATGAGGTTATTGTGGGCCAATATCTTCAGTGGTATTTCGCCGCGATTTGTATTCGTGGCCTCCGTTTGCATCACTTCGAGAATCTTGAGACACGCTTCGGAACAGTTGTCGGGATTGCCGTAAATAGTGATCACTTTCTCGAGAGCGCCGGCATTTTCTTTGCGGTGCACGTCTACGCGCGCCCGCGTTTGTTGAGTGATCTGCTTGATTGTGCCCCCGGACCGACCGATTATCGCACCCACCATATCGCTCAACACTAGGATTCTGTGACCAATCAGAGGTATATTGTTTTAAATGCATTGCAAACACAACAATAGTTAGCGCACAGAATATAATCAAGAATTATACACAATTGTAATGCATTTTGAGCACATAATTAAAGCACAGAATAGTAAGCATTGTATTGCTTTCGTATGTGTAATATATAACTCAATTCTGGTCATAATCTATAAACTAATTGCACCAATATTTGCGTGAAAAATATATGTATAACTTATGGCATAGTTTTAGGCATTTAAAAGATGGGCACAAAATGTGTTCAAATGATAGCCAATGATAGGTTATGTGCAAAATATACATTATTCCTATCAATAGTGTACT